GAGGGTGTCAGCGCAGAACAGCCTCGGCTGGTTTTCAAACTGGGCTTCTCACCGGTTCGCTCGTTTAAAAGCGTGGCCGATTTTATGTTAGGGTCGGTCTTCGGCCCCCGGGGCTTTTAAAGACCGTTTTAGGAGGGCGACTTCTCGCCGACTAAAGACTGCTTTCCTTGAAGCGATGCTTTCCCTGAAAGAAAATGGCCCTAAACAAGAACCTTTTGGAAACTATTTCACGCACGTGAATTGTATAAAAGCGACTCGTTGCCAAAACAGCAATGTGCCCCCAAGCATCATGCTTGTCTTTATTTCAGACATTATTGGCATTCTCAGAGCGAACAGAAAAATCCCGGCGAGGGTATCAGGCACGTCCACGAGAAATGAAGTGCCAGGGCTTCGCGACCGTGATTTTTTTGGTGCTGGGGAGACGCGGCAATGTAACGAGGCAGGGCATGTCCAAATGATACCCCCAGACTCGGCTTGGCTTCGTGAGCCGCGCTGGCAGGGTGCTGACCTGCTCCTCCGCGGGCGTGCGCCCACCTCCAGCTTTTCCCCGCTTGGTCCCGCAGAGACGAGCGCCTGTTTGCAGTAGACCACGCAGCCACGATAATTGATTATCAACGACTCTGACAGGAATTAAATGTTTTCAGTCATCATTCTTACCCGGAAAATAAATTAATAAAATGAATAATCCCGCTTTCACACGCAGGACGAAGCCGGAGAGCACCTTTGCGCGACTGAATGAGAACAAGCTTTATCCTTCTGCACAAATTCAGCCCGTTTTAATAACCTTGCTTGGACTCACTCATTATCCCTTTTTCCCACCCAGGTATTTCCCGGGAAAGCCATCGCTTCTGCCACCCAAGACTTCGGTGCCACGATCCGCTCAGGAAATATCCAAAGGGGATTTTTTTTTTTTTTTTTAAGAGCTGGAGGGGAATAAGAGGCATCTGGGGAAGCTGCGAGAAACCCACTTACGAGGAGATGTGTAGGCGGTGTGGGAAGGGTGTCCTGTGCGGGCATTTTAAGGGATGCTAAACAGCCGAGAGATGAAAATTGGGGTCTCAAAGGAGATGCGTGGACGGAGACGTGGGGAGAGGGGAAGGGCTCCGCGCTTCTAAGGGGAAAGGCTGGAGGTGCGGGTCGCGGGCGTGGGCTGGCGGCCGGAGAGGGGCTCTGGGCTGCGGGCACGGCGGAGCCGGGGAGCTCCGGGCAGGACCGGCAGGGGCAGCTCTCCGGCCTGCGCTTCTTTTTTCGGGCTCTGCTCAGGT